AAAAAAAAGAACATTCATAGCTAATGAGGGCATCATCCTCAGACTTTGTTCATTTGAGTATCAGTTGCTATGAATTGGAGAAAACCATCTGGAAAATGTGTATTAAAGTTTAAAATATGCAAACTTCTGAACTAGCATTCTACTTTTGGGACTCCATCCTGTTGCAATCGACAACACCTGTATCTAAGATAAATGTATGAAAGTGTTCATTGCAGCATTATTTGTCACAGAGAAAAAGTAGAAAAACACCTGAATGTATATAATTGTGGTTAACCAACAAAAAGTATTATTTGCCTTTTTAAAAAGCGCGAATTAGATGTCGATGCTAATACTGGAGGGATGCCCTTGAATTAATATAAAAAATTACAGCGCAACTTACAGAATATGGTCTTTATTCTGCAAAGCCACATAACAACCATAAAAACCAAGCACGTGTACATGATGTCCGTGTGAGCGTGAAGCCTTTGACGCTGACTGCCTAAGGGCAGGGAGGGCCCTAAGGACTGATTTAAAAGGGGGCTTTAGATTCCCACTGTCTACTCCAGTTCTCTCAAAATCCATTCTACATAAACACAAAAAGAAGTAAAAGGGTTGCTACCCAGTTCCAAGAAAATCACCCATCGCCGTCGCTACACCGAAACACAGCCGCATGAAAGTTCTGAAGACATCACAGCTTCAGAGACGTGAAGTGGAAAAGAGATTGCTTTTTCATACATATCTTTCTCTAATTTTTAAAAATTATCATGTAATATTTTTGGAACTTAACATGAAATTCTTTCAAAACTGTTGTGGTAGAACTACTTAGGAATTTACACCACTATGTGTGTGCCCGGGAAGGGTCAGGACAGGAATGAGATTAGTTGCAATTACCAAAAAGAAGAGAAACATTAGTTCTCTTTCCTCTTGTACCCTTAACCTTCCTCTCTGGCCTTTCTCTTTGTCCCCACTGCAGCCAAGTCCAGACGTTGGTAGCTGCTGGGACGAGACAGGGTCGACACTTCCTCACCCTCCTTTCAAGGTTTACCCTCTAGCACTCGCCACCAAGGTCACAAACCTTGTTTTCCTACAAAGATCCTGCTGCCAACATAGTGGCGGACAGCACTTTTCTCAGAATTAGTTTCCGGGAGCTATGATGAGCTCTCGGTGTTTCATTCCCATGACCATTTCCCCTTGACCATTTCCCCTTGTAACCAAAAGGGCGCACCATGGAACACTGTGCTTGTTATCTCAGCAGAGTTAGAGAACCTAAGCTTCGACTCCATGTGCACGGGAGCTTGTGCCAACTTCCGTTATATCAACAGGGACTGTCATGTGAGCGCGTCTGGCCATAACCACGGAAGTCTAAACTTCAAGAAGGCAGACACCAGGTCTTGTATTTCCTTATTTTCCAGTGTCTAGCAGAGTGCTTGACATACTAAGTACACATAAATGTCGATTTGTATTTCCTTATTTTCCAGTGTCTAGCAGAGTGCCTGACATACTAAGTACGCATAAATGTCGATTGGATGAAAATACAAATAACCGAGCATTTAACACATGCCTATTTAGTCCAAAAGTATAGTTTACTCACCTCTTGCGTAAAATAGGAAAAGCGCCGCTCTGCATGAAAGCCGCAGAGACCACGCGTGAGAATCAGACCACGTGTGCACTGCAGAGTGTCGCGGGGGAGAGGAGGCAGAGGGAACATGAGGAAACGGACCAGCTTTGAGGTGGTGGGTCTCTGGAAGGGGTACACGTGAAAGGCTGCACAGGTGCACTCTGGGAGAGGCACAGCCTCAGCGACACTGGTTTGAGGTTCTCATACTGAACTATGCAAGGGTAAAAAAAGAGTTTCGTGAATTCACTTTAATTTGCTTTAAGTCTAGACTAGCTGTATCTGGACTTTCTCTTGTGCCCTCGTGTTTCTGTGACGTTACAATCAGACACGAGATAATTCTCAGTAGATCTCAAAGGCTCAAAAGAGTCAAAACCCAAATACTACTGTAGGAGTATGTATGTAAATAAAAATAATCTAAATATATTATTTATTACATAAGATACATAACATGTATCTGATGGTAACTTTGTTTCTGAATTATCCCCTAGGAGGACTGCTCGACGGAAAGAGCGGACGCTCAGGCTGCTGGCCGGGGCCTTGGCCGGGCTGCCCTCTCGTCTAGGTGCCATATGCTTGGTTTCGCTCTGCTTTAGTTTACTCACTCTTCCTTAACTCAAGGGGGTAGGCCATGGTGTCTCTAATGTCACTTCCTTCTCTAACATTTTAAGATTTTATCATTTAATTCGATCACTTTCCAATTAAAACTCTACTTCAAGCAGAAAAAACAACCACATAATCCTGCTTTCTCAGGTTGGCACGGTTCGTTCACATAAACCATCTTAAGAAACATCCATCTGACGGCCCCACAAGCACAAAGCAAAGCGGTCACTGATGTCGACAAACTCATTATACACACTGATCAGATCACTCCGATGCTTGCCAAGCTTTCACCTGACTTCCTTCAAACAAACTCTTAAATGTCGTGGAGAGAGCGCGCGCACACGCGCACACACTCGCTCTGAGCATCCTCTAAACAGTCCTACCCTTCGTCACCTTCCCCTCTACCCGAAAATCCAGACCTCTGCACGTGCTATTTTCCTGTGATGTTCAGGAATAAGCCGCTTTCTGGGCGAGGCGACTGTGGAGGGATCGAGGTCCCAGCGGGGGCCC